GGTTTACATCACGTACAGTAGGATGCTGAAGATCGGTCCAACTAAGGGTTGCAAAGGTTGTGATGCTGATTCATCTGCACACAATGCCGAATGCATTGCCCGGTATGAGGAAGCATTCGGTGCTGCTCCGTCGACCTCAGCACCTGAGCCTCCGACCTTCGAAATGCCGGAGATCCTAGGAGACTAGGAGACTTGATTGGTGAGGAGTACACCCCAACTGTCCTGTCAGAGGCCGAAGAGGATGAAGAGGAGATTGTCCCAGAATGTCCTCCGCCCTCTGATGAGGAAGATGAACCTGAGGGTGATGAAGCTCGTGTCCATGCAGGCATTAATGCCGTCCTTGCCATGTCTCATGATGCCATTTCCAAGAAAGCTCCAGAAACGATTGTGCAAGAAACGTATGCATCAGCAGTCGCTGCAAGCAATGAGAGCTGTCTAGGAGCAGCTGCAAAGCCTGAGCGTCTACACAGCCAGATCCACAATTCCCCAGGTGGCAAGATTTCGTTTGAATTTGCCTGTGCTTCAGACTCAGCGCTCGGTAGGATTGGTGAGGAGCTTGGAGTTCAAGTTGTAAGACTTTGTAAGGAACACATAGATCTTGCAAGTAAAGCAAACATCGACCAACTTGTTGAGCAAGTGAAAGCCATCCCTGGTTGTTCAATTCATGGTTCCATTGAATGTGGTCCTTGGAGTGCTTGGCAAAGGTTGAATGAAGCAAAGAACCCCAGATTGACCAACATCCTCGTAGGGAAAGTGTTTCAATGATATATTCGTTCATCAGGGTTGCAAACCATGTTCTTGATAATGGTGGTTTTGTGTCTTTTGAGTGGCCAAGGTATTGTTCAGGGTGGATGTGTGAGCCCCTAGCTTCCTGGATCACAGAAAGGCAACTGCTGTCTGCCACTTTCGATGGCTGCACCGTAGGAATCACTGCCAAGGACAACAAACCCGCTCGAAAGCCGTGGAGGTTTGTCACGAATAATAAGAGGTTAGCTGATTCTTTGGGAATGTTGAAGTGCACGCATGACAAGCATGCACCCCTTGAAGGGAAGTACACTCGAAACTCAGCTTTCTACCCAGAGCCTCTTTGTCAGATCATGTTGCATGCTTTGTTTCCACATGTCGTCAATGCTCATGTGTTTTGCATGCCGTGCACACCTCGCGTGAATCATTCACATCGGCAGCATGTTGTCAAAGGGATGCCATGTGTTCCCATTGATGTCCTCATGCGTGAGAGTGGATGTAAGGAGTTTGTAACACCAGCATTCGTTCATCGTCTGTTGGAGCGTGCTGAATGGAAGGGTCGCCCAGAAGTTTACCTTGCCATTAAAAGCGAGAAAGATGGTTTGGTTTTGGAAGGGACTTGGATTGAAGATGAGATTAGGTCAAAGGCAGACGTGATCAGGGAATTTCCCAATGAAACACTGCACTTCGGAGCCCTAATGTTGACCTTTGATTTATAAACGACCCTAGAATAATGTCACTTTTTTTCCTGCACAGATTTATAAAGGCCCCCAGAATAATGTCTTTTTTTTTGGGGAAGGGTAGTTGTAGTGGGGTATTTTTTATTGTTATAGTTTTCTTTTTCCCTTTTGAGTTTGCTGGGATTTGCTTATCTTACAGGCTTTTGGATTGAGATTTCTATCAAACATTTGGAGATTTCCATTGAGATTTGATGCTTTTGGAGGCTTTTGGATGGAGATTTCTATTGAAAATTTGGGGATTTCCATTGAGATTTGATGCGCACTTTCTTTATAAAATCCCTTATTCAAAAGTATTGAAAAACCAAAAAATCATTCAAGCAAAGGGGGTAGTCCAGCAAGCAGCTTTCTGACATTATTTAGGGGGGGCCCCTAGAATAATGTCTAGAGATTTGAGGCTTTAAATCTTTATTCCTTTTCTTTGCCTTTTGATTTGCTTTGCTCACCCTCTATTCCTTATTAACTTTTCCTAAGCTCTTTAGTTTTGAAGCTTTCCAAAAGTTTCCAACAGTCAGTGCGGACTTTCTTTATAAAATCCCTTATTCAAAAGTATTGAAAGACAAAAAAATCATTCAAGCAAAGGGGGTAGTCCAGCAAGCAGCTTTCTGACATTATTTAGGGGGGGCCCTAGAATAATGTCTAGAGATTTGAGGCTTTAAATCTTTATTCCTTTTCTTTGCCTTTTGATTTGCTTTACTCACCATTGAAATTGCAGGTCTTTGGATTGAGATTTCCATTGAAATTTAAACAGTTAGTTCTATTTCCATTGATTCGTTCCCTTTTTTGTAATTAATATTCCAGATGTCTTCAAAGTTAGGAATTCTTATTTCCCTTTAATTTAATATTGCCAGAGGTCTTCAAAGTTAGGAATTCTTATGTCCTTTTATTTTAATATTGCCAGAGGTCTTCAAAGTTAGGAATTCTTATTTCCTTTTAATTTAATATTGCCAGAGTAGCTCCAGAGGTAGCTAGCTAAGGATTCCTTATTTAATTATCAACTGATTGATTTTCTTATACATTATTTTGGAGGCCTTGGTTGTTGAGGGAGGGAGGGGGGAGTTTATAAATCAAGAGTCAACATTAATGGTGATCGTCAGCATAAAGGGGTATGAAAAGAACCCAGCTGAATGGAAGATCAAGGCTCGGATTGTTTTCCGAGGTGACGCAGTCAAGGATCAGGGGGGCTTGAGCGCCATCTTCCAAGATCTTGCTGCTTCCGCTCCGAGTTCAATTGCAGCATTGAACACAGTGATAGCCTTTTCAATGATCGAGGGAAACTCTTGTTCAACATCTGATTGCGTCCGGGCCTATTTTCAGTCCGCACTCGGCACGAAGCATCGAACATTTGTGATGCTACCGCCTGAGCTCGTGCCGGAATCCAAGAAGCATATCCACATGCCTTGCGCGCAGCTGTACAAGAGCCTTTATGGCCATCCAGAGTCGTCGGCGCACTGGCAGGCCCACCTTTCCAAAATCTTGCAGGAAAAACTCAACGGTGTCGAGTTCAGTGAGATGCCCTCGGTTTTTCGTTTCGGTCGTTCTCTAGTGATGAGCGTCTATGTATAGACGACCTCACACTCTCAGGAGTAGCCTCCGAACACGAAGGATTCTGGAAAACCCTCAAGCAGTATATAAATTTAGATCCACCGTCAGAATATGGTAGAGTCTTAGGACGAAAACATAGGCTTGTGTGGTTTCAAGGGAGCAAAGCAGTGGCCTTAGAATCATCTGACTTCGCAAAACAGTGCGTTGAACTGTATGAAGAGCTAGCGAAAACGCCGGTGATGATCATGGGACGATGGAGCCCTGATCCCTGCTGATGACGAGATCAAGGGGCAGCTCTCGCCACATTCGGCCAAATTAATTATGAAGTTGATGTGGCTCTGTCGCATTAGCAGACCAGATGTCACATTTGCTGTCACTCTGTTGGCGAAACACATTACGGTGTGGTCGGCCAACGACGACAAAAGAGTCGCAAGACTCATTGGGTACTTGCAAAAGACCCATGAATACTCCCCGATAATGTGCATTCGTGATCCGCCAGAGCAGTTAAACTTGTCTCTATATTGCGATGCCGATTTCGGTGGTGACATCAAATCCATGCGATCAACCTCTGGATTCATCCTTGCGGTTGCGGGTCCCTCCAGCTTTGCACCAGTGAGTTGGAGCAAGAGGCAGAGCGTGGTTGCAAGATCGACCACGGAGAGCGAGTTCGTCTCACTTTCCAGTGCCTTATTCTCCGAGGCGATCCCTACCTTGGAGGTATGGCAAGCGTTGATCCCCGGAATGACCCTGAAGGTTTTCGATTATCCAGAAAGGCTACTCCAATAAATTAAGGCACTTGAGTAAAACCCACCGCATAAATGTGGCCTCAACTGCCGAAACAGTCAACAATGCTGATGACATCACAGTCCAGCATATCGAAACGACTCAGCAGAAGGGCGATGTGTTTACTAAAGGATTACCGTTGTCCAAATGGGGAAATGCCTTGGAGTTGTTGCAGTTCTCCCTGAGTCCGCTCCCGTCTTATGATGCAGGCAGGAGCTCGCATGACTAGAGCTAAGCAATAGTCAGCCGCAGTTCAAAGCTAAGCTAGATCTACAATGAATGAAATGGTTAAAGCTAAGCGATAACCAGCAGCAGCTCGAAACTAAGTTAGATCTGCCTCGAATGAAAGTCTAGACAATGCATGCCGCACAGTGCTACTGCCGAGCGTGGCGCCAAGCTTGCATGAAGGGTGACTGGCTGCTTGAAGCGCCGCTCCCAAGCTGCCGTTCGTAAGCCTGTAAAGTTAGCTTGCAGTCTTTCGATAGGAATTGTCAGGTCACAGACGGTTCAATCAATGAAGCGACTGTCTCAGACCTGGAATACTAGCTGTACATATGTTCATCTCACTATGAGGGGGGACTTGAAGGTTCCCGTGTAAAGTGCACCTCATATGTATAGGCACAGTTCATGAACATTGTACTTTTGGCTCAAGTGATCAAAAGGCCGCAGCCGCTGCCACTTCGCGGACACGGCGGTCTTTACTGTGAGTTGGTTTCTTGGTGTTGTTTGTGTTGGTGTTCCGTTTTCCAACGGTTCAAGTGTAACAGGTGCCTTGCTAGTAGTAACAAGTGCCACGCTACTAGGAACAAGTGCTATATCATGGTCTCTCAAGAATTCAGTGTCACATCTTGCAATAATTCAGTGTTTCTGTCGCACCATGTGACGCAATGTGCTTCTTTTTGTTGAAACATGTTTCAACCAATGGGCGATCACATGTCGGCCAGCTGTTGACAGTATCCAGATCATTGGGATTGAACAGAAGCGACATCGTTGGTTTCATAAGGCTCGTGAACAAGGCCCCGCAACCGAGAACAGCCGTGTGATCTTGCGCACGAGAACAGCCGTCCTTTTTGACCAAGCTTTACGCTACCTTCTCACCTTCTCCCCAAGCGGACGTACAGCCGCCCTTGCCCGTTTTCACCCCTTGATCCCGCTTTGCCTGGATGGGGTGTCCCGCTGGAACATCTCAAGGTGGGGCACTGGCGCGGCCAGCACAAAGGCAGGGCTGTTTCTGCATGAAAACCACCCTGGTCGTGAAAGCAAGCTCGTGGGGAGTTGAAGATCCAGGTGAAGTGGAGTTCTTTTGGAATAGAATGAAATGAACGAGGATTACAGGATTGGTTTTCAGTGCCAATCAACCTCATGGTCATGACATTCTGTGCAAAGGCCTTTTTGTACTGCCAATGAGGTGGCAGCTGGTATGTCATTGGTTTCTGCTTTAGAGTGCGGGCGACAGGCGTGTGTTTGGTTTTGTTCACTTTACACAGGCTGGGGCGATCTGTCGACTCCGCTGGGCTGTGTTCCACGAGTCCACGATCTTCTGCTGATTCGAGTGGCAGTGTTCGGTCATGTTATGTCATGTTCCACGCATAAAAACCGGGGTCAGGCGGGTCAGGCCACATCTTCTCCGCTGAAAAATACTTTATTTGAGGCTCTTTGTATCTCCTTGACGACCGGTGATCACCCCCCCCAAATGGAATGGTTTAGTGGTGATCTACGGCTACGGCTACGGCACGACCAGCCAGCATCAATCATTTTCTACCGAGGTTTGGCCGTAGCCGTAGCACAAACATATCAAAAACATACTAAATATATAGCCGCTTCGCAAGGCCATCCAAGGCCCTTTTTGTGATGCACCAAAGATGCAGCTTTCTTGTTCAGTTTGCACGACTGCCTCGTTTGGAAGCTAAATGAATCGTTTGATCTTTGGGTTGCCAAGGATTTGCAGCGACAAGCAGCTAGCAGCTAGTTGTTGGTAGGATCTGGTAGGGGATTTAAGAAAGCCCAAAGCAACTGTTGGATGAATGAACCCTTTATTTAGGCCTCATCATTCACCATGGCGTACCAATCACCGCGGCGCTGTTCTCTTCTGGGGGGCGTTTATTCGGTGAATTTGAGTGACCATGTGGCTGTGAGTCATGGCACCTCTCTCACCAAACCATGGCAGATTGACACGTATTGTACATTCATGTAGACATTGCTGTACGTTGAAATAAGAATAGCACACATAACAAATCAACTAGGTCTAATTACAATGGTCTAAAGGATTCTAAAGGTATTTGTTTAGAACAAAATAAGAAATACCTGGGGCCTCGGATGGTGGTTCAACTGCTTCGTTCCAGCCTGGATGCCTGATGCCTGATCGTCAGGCAGCTCAGCTCATGGAAGTGGTGGAGGAGGGCCATGAAGAGACTGGTCAAGATCCGGCAGATTCACAGGCTTTTCCTGCTGTGTCATGTGGATCTTGTGGTCGAGAAGTGTGATTATTTTTAGACGTCACTCGCCTTAGCTTTCTCATGAGCGATCGATCGGAGTCGATTTCGATCGACTGGGGTCTGTCTGGGACCTACGGTTTGGAGCCCTCGATTTAACAGGGTCGCAGGCCCCACCACGTCAAGGTCCACCATGCCAGGCCGGGTGGTTCTTACCGCGATGGACGCCCTTCGGGACTTCTTCTCCTGAGGAGGCGCCGGTGCCGAGTTCGGAACACCCACGGCCGTGGAACGGGGTTCTTTCACCGAGGAACGACTGTTTTCTCAGCCACCGAACGTATGGGCCATATGAATGGCTATGGCCGAGCAGATGAATGCGGACTGGTCAGTATACTGTATGTTCGGACTTACTTGACTCTGTAACTACCGGTGTCAAGTACAGTAACTGTTATTGAATCATGTGCCGTTTCAACACTGTCCGTGTCCTGTTTGTGTCTTGGGACTTGTTGCATCCCGTAGGTGTTGGGCATACGGGTGTGCGCAATAATTCCCAAAGTATATAATACTGCATACGTTGCTTGGTTTTAATATGTTCAATTTTCAATTGGGCCCGTTCGACATCCTTAATGCAACTTAAGTGTAGGAAAGCGGAGAATCAATCATATTTTAAACGATCAAGTTTTGGAAAGGCAATGGGATGATAATGCAAGATGCAAGATAGATTTGCTTGCCAACTTTTGAATATTTGATGCGAGTTGAATGATTTGAACGGAAACTTCTATACTAAAGGAGACTTGTCGAGACTTGTAAGACCTGACAATTCTAGGAAACCATACCCTTTAAGAATAGATGTACCCCTATGAAGCCCTATTGATGAAAGAGAGCCGACTAATATGGGGTTTGATAGTATGTTTTTTGTTTTAACAATTTAGTGTCATGGAGTCATGGGTTTCATTGCACGATTGGAGGTCAGCACCAGTTCTTATTTGGTAGTTCCTGCAGTCTCTTCTTAGTCTTTTTTGGTCAATTAGCCTTTGTACATCTTGCCTAGTTTTTTTCATCCCTAGTTATTGCCATTCTTAAGAGTTCTGAGACACAATCAAGCAAAGGCATCACTACTAGACCAGATGCAAGAATTTGTGTTTATCGTGGCAATACTGTCTACACATTTGTTTCAGAGCCAGAGCTGTTTAATTACTCACTTACCTAGCAGAAAGCAGTGGCTCTTTCCTTCTTGGCTCGTTTGTCATTTTGATAGCTCCCTCGTGTTATTAATGTTTTTGCTGATACAACTCATTTATTTACAATATTGTGGTTTCTTCTCCTCTCTCTCTCTCTCCCCTCAATAACGATAGACAAATCCTCATTTTGTAGGCTTTTATGTTGCTCCAAGAGGTTCAATGTTGGTGAAACCCAAAAGGTTGGCCTTCATCCTGGCCTTCATAATCATATGAATATGTGGATTTGGACAGAACATGGCATCCTTAGCACCTTTCTAGCAGGAACCCTTCACACATCAGCAGTTTATTTGTTTGAGGCTGAGGTTCCCAACGGTTCTTGAGAAATCAGTCTTCAGAAAACTGCCCTTTGGACACAGATTCAGATGAAGAACCAAGCTCTGATCAATTGGTTTATCTACAGAAGAGGCTTGTACGATAGAGGCGGTTTCTGGAAAAGATTGGACGATTGTATCAGTTCAATTTCACTGTGGATAACAGGTTGCAAGCTGGCAATGTTGCAGACAGTTGAAAACAGATTCCAAATGCAAAGGCCAAACCAAAGTTAAAACAATGTCATGAACAAACAGTGTTCAGTAAGTCTTTGGTGGGGGGGGAGTACCTGAACTGGAAGAGCTGCTGCACATTGTTTATTGCTTTTGTACTGAGGACTGAGGTCTTTAAAGATTTTGGTTTGGGCCTCTCTTATGTGTTTTTCTTCGTTTGCCCCATTGCAGCCCCATTATTATTGGGGATCGGCTTCCAATTCTGTTGAATGCAGATGAGAAGAGATTAATCTGAAACGCTGCAATTAGACCCATCAAGTGAATGAATAGTGGAAACCACCATCAACCCTTCAATACTTACCCACTCAGTCAGTGGATAACCTTCAAAACCTTTTCGGGGAATTGGCTTCTCCGCTAAATATGAACAGTTGTGAAAAAGGTCTGTATAAACCTGTGTTTTCCCGACTGAAGAGGTCGGAATAGCCATTTGGGTGGATGTGGACTCCGATGTTTTTCACATGCAGCCCCACCAGTCACTAAGCCGCTTAGCCCAAGAAGTCAGCTCATCCAGGAGTCTTTGGAGAGCTTGGAAGAGACCGGTTGGTCTGGATTGCTGCGTTCTCAGAGGGGGCGAGGCATTTGAAACCCTGTGCCGGCGGAGGGTGGGGGGATTTGATTCAGCCCACTCACTCGGGTGCTTTGTGATGCTCAGTGGCTGAATATAGGGAGGCTGGTGAACCAATTTCTCTTGAGGCTGTTTGCATGTTAAAAACTAGCCTCTTGAAGAAGCCGCCTCAACATCACATGATTCCGAGGTTCAATTCTTTACACAGCCTTTTTGGCTAAAAAGCTGCAGCTTATCCGACTCTGAAAGCAGAGGATCGGTGTTTCTTTTTTTGCCTTAATTTCATCCCATGGAATCAGTTCAGGATCCTCAGGACCCATTTGCAGTGCTGTCAGAGGAGGACAAAAGTTTCCTTGTTTGTGTAGTTGCTTTGGTCCTTCTGGCTCTTGGGATAACCCTTCGAGCTACTAGACATCATTGGTCGCACCCATCACTGACATTTTGCAAATGCTATGAGAGGCTGAGGCATTTGCGAAACAAAGAAGGAGAGGATTTGAGATGGAACACATATTTGCTCCAAGAGGTTTGTGAGCAAAAGGTCGTTTTAGCACGGATCTATGGGCGCTATGCAGCTTGCGTCTTGATCTTCTCATCACTCATCCGTGTCCAAAGGATGTTGTCGAGAGACCCTCCGTGGTTGAGCTCAGAGGGAGCTTGGTTTGGGCTGGTTGTGGCATTCTTAGCCACTTTGATGTCCCAAGTTCCACAAGCCACACAAAGGTACTCCTTGGATGTGATTTGTTTCCTGTGGTATTTGGTGGCAGCATTTCATTTGTCCTCGTGGGTCGTCGCAGTGGAACAGCTCTTGCTGATGGAGCTCTTAATGTTTATGATTGTGCACATTCCTGTTTGCACCTTCGCGAAGCATTACAGTGTGATCCTTTTGTGTCAGGGAGGAATCATGGCATTTGTAGTAGCCCGCGCTATGATGGAGGACCTCCAAAGAATTCAGAGCCTTGGGCAGAAGAGGGCATTTCCCTAACACTTGCTTGGAGGGAGTCTATATGGAAATCTAGATTCTGTGTCGTTTGTTGTTTGTTTCTCGCAGATCAAGACAAGTCAAGGATAACAAACAAAAGTTCAATGGTGGTCTTCAACATCTTGTTGCTGGGCTATGCGTTGCTGGTTCATTCCCTCTCGAACTCCTTCCTGCAGCAGACTGTGGAACTCCGTGTCCGCGGGGCAGACAGCAAAACCCAAGGGAATGCTACCTCCTCTCTGTTAGAGCTCACCTGCGATGCTAGGAGGATCTATAGAGGATTTTGTGTTGTTTTTTTGTTGGACATCGGACATGTCCCTATTTGTGTGTGGTTTAGGGCCTTACGGCCTCTACATGCGACAGACAAGGAACAAAAGAGACCAATCGCCCTTCTTTTGAGACAAACACAAAGCTCATGAAAGTTGTTTGTGGTTGTTTATAGAGACAAGCTCACGAATACTCATGCTCATCAGGATCGGATTGTTTTTCTGCTATTTCCGCCCCGGTTTCTCTCAGTGCAAGGATGCTGTGGTGCATCTGGATTCCGAGCTTCGAATCACTTCCGACGCCCGCGATGCGTTGGCTGCGATGCTCTTTCGCAATCCGGAGGCACTCAGAGGCAGGATAAATGGTCTTTGGTCGCCAAAAAAGCTGCGTATATCAATCCTTAATCTGGTTAGTGGTGTCCATTTGTTTTTGTCAATCTTTGACTATCAAAATGACCATGAGCATTCAGCTGGGTTGAAGGTTCCAGCCAGTTAAGGACAGCCCTTCCGCCCACCTGATCACCTCGATTGAGACAGTGAGACAGCACTTGGGCACACGAACGCTGGTTTTAGCCATTCGATATCATTTGATCTATCCAATCTGGACTTCGGACCTGCTTATAGCGGTTTAGGAGTTTGAGAGATTGCTATAGATACGGTTATTCCTTCCTTCTACGGAAATCCGGGTCCGACTCTAGAACTATTTTTGTTTGGGATTTTGGGAGCACAAGAATTATAGACCCCTTGCCTTTTTCATCCACTGAACCCATCTCCAGCCGCCAGTGTAGCCCTGAGAGGCACCAAATTCACCGAGTTGATTGCCACTGCTGAAGCTCGCTCTCGGGCGGCAGAGATTTTGAATGAAGAAGCTGAGGCTCGAGCACACGCCTTCCATACGCAGCTGGTGGATGGCTGTTTCACTCGGTTCAGGACAGAGGCACGGAAGCAAGGTAGTTTAAGGCTTAAGGTAGGGCCAATCTGCACGAACCCATAGACATCTCATAAACCTTTAGGACTTTTGAAGATTCACAGACCTACCTATAGTTTCACAGTGTTCCACACAGCTTTTTTGGGTTATATAAATGTCAGAGTCATTCAGAGGTTGGACATGAAAGAAAGCATGGGTCTGAGATTTGCGTCCGCTTCCCAGCTTCGCACTTGGCATGCTCTCTGGAGGTGTTTCAAGTGAAGTACTCCAAGATGAACGGAGAGAAATGTCACCTCTTGGGACTGCGTGACTTCACCGATGTGAAACCCTTGTCTCAGCATGCCACCGATGCGGCTTCGCCCGTGGAACGAGAAGTCGTAGACGGAAGTTCACAAGCTCTCAGTAGCTCGGTTTTGTGTTTAGACACTTGGCGTGATCTCTCCTTGATCATGTTGCATGTTGTCAGTTCCAAGCATGTTCATCAAGAAACCAACAAATGCATGGATCCAGTTGCCCACCAAGAAAGTGAAGGGACCAGGATGTGTGTGTGTGTGTTTTTCTTTTCTCAGGTTGTGAGATGTCTATATGGTACTGAGTGGCCTTGGGTCATCTTGGGTCCATTGGTTTCTTTTGGTACTTAGTTCAATGTTGTAGTTGTAGTTCAAATAGACCGCCCAGAGACGTCCTTAGTTCAAGTAGTCATATGCTATGGATTGCTATGGTCGATTCTCTTCGGTCTTAGCGTGGCAACCTATTCATTCGGAATACCTCTATCACACCCAAGGTGGAACACTTGTCCTTTGCAAACAGGCTATTTGTCACGTCATGTCACGTCCTACGTTTCTTTCATAGTTTCTTGAAACCTATCGTCACGGTGTCACAACGGTGTCATGGCTACCAATGACATCCATCATCACGGGCGTGTTTGAAAATGGTCTCTAGCACCGGTCTTGCTGGTCCTTGTTCTACCAGGAATCAAGCTGGATGATTGCCACCTAGCTGCCATCCTGCCAACCTTGAGACTGCAACGCATTCAGAGCACCCGCAGGAACGCCCAAAAACCATTGTGTTTTTTCTTCCTGGTTTTGGCAAAATCCAAGTAAGGTTATGAAATGGGCAGCTTGGACCTTGAATCTCGAAGTGATTCTTCGATGCCACAACTTCTTCTTGACCCCCGACTACCGGCAAGCAGCCCAAGCAGCCCGCTGGGCAGCCCGCTGGACACGGGATTGGTGCACAGTCGAGTACTTCCCAATGGGATCATCGAACACTGTGTGCAGATTCACGACAAGTTGACCTTTTTGGATATCAACGTGGATCAGAAGGTGATCAGTGCAGCCTCTGCTCCATGTGTTGACTTGGTGGGCAAGAAGCTGGAGGATGTTTTCCCAAATGATTTCACATTACAGATTGTTCGCAACATGTGCGATGAAGCCAAAGGCTTCATGGACACCTCGCTTGTTCCCAGGGCGTTGCCTGATAAAGTGGCGGCATTCAACGAGATGCCCATGTTCTTAGGCACACGTGTAGTCGGGGTGTCTGGAATTATGCGAGTGTTGCTCACCGAAGCCGGACACTTCCGAGTGGTACTCAGCTTTCCGTGGCCCAAGGCGGCAAATTCAGTGTCACTCTAAGGCAAAACCGGTGGCAGGAAGGGAAAAAGCGACCCCTGCACAATTGAATCATCGTAGTCACAGAAACTGTACTAGCGGGAGTCAAATACATTTGACAATAGAAGTTGAGCACGAATGTTTCAGACAAGGAATCATTGAATCAAGTAACCAAGTATATAATATATAATATATATTACAATCAAGGTGATTGCGCAGATTGGCAACTCCAACCACACCAGGACCACCCTTGGAAGAAACAGCTTGTGTGTGTGCGTGCACGTGTGGATGTTCTTTACCTACTGCGACTCTATGACATTGTTTGCTTGGAGGATTGCAATTCGAGACAGGACCGAGCCATCTTATTTTATGACCCATATCAACCAGAGGTATCCTCAGCGCTGTGACAAGTATCCTCAGTCTCTTCTTCCCTTGGCCGGCCGCAACGGCTCAGGCTGTCCGTGGGCATCCTGGGGAGCACTGGGGTTGCACAACTGCCTCCTGGAGGTCGCGGAGGGTCAGGTGTCCTCAGGTGGTCAGGTCACGTCGTATCACCGCACCGCCGTCTAGACACCAGAAAAGAGATGCTCTCCCTGTATCATGATTGCACTAGATCACTAGATCAAGCAAGTGCGTGAATCTCTCCTTTTTTTGCTTCATGTATACTTGCAAGTTCATGATTCAGCTTCGTGGATCTTGCACTAAATACCACTAATCCGACTAGTCCACTAGAATCAATTGTATAAAGGATTGGTGAAGGCATCCATGGGTGATCAATCAGGCACCTCATGAATGAAACGCCCTTCCTAACACCTCTGAGCGCACAGGAAGGTCAAAGTTGTGATATGCATAATATCTTAACTCAGTGAACCGTCCACATCAGCTCATCTTGAGTGGAGATTCCTTGGGAGAGTCCTGGAATCTCACTCTCATTGAACCGTCTCAGAGATGTGAAATCAATGGTTGGTGCCTCTATTGGACCCTATTGGATGGCTTGTAAGATGTTCACCCTGTAGAAATGTATGACTACCAGACAGATGTGTATGATCCATGTAAAGCTCACGAAGAAGTCAAAGACAGCCCAGACATGCCCAGACTCTACTCTACCAGATGTAAAGAGCAGTCGTGATTTTGGGAATTAATGTTAGATCAGTATTTGTGGGGTGGTATATAAAATATAGTATCTAAATGTTTCAGAAAATCCAGATCAAATTTGATTTAGTATTCGACCAAAAAAAGGGCCCGTAATTAACCCAGGTCCACTAGAAATCCCACAGATTCTTGCACAGACAACCTGACTGCAGAGAGGGGATCCACAATTATAGCACCTCTCTCTAATGTGGCTCCTGCCTTGCTTGAGAATGCTTTCCTATACATGTCACTTTGAACAAAAGAAGGCACAATAACTGAAAAATCTAACATCTTCCAATGTCCAAAACGGTCGATTTCTAATTGAAACCCTTAGCGTTCAACGTCCCCTTCGTTGATCGTTCGGATCGGCTCGTCCCCCGGAATGAACGAGCGTTGGTCCTTCGAATCAGCGGATCAATCTGTGGGTGGGACCTGTGTGAGTGTGATTCGCTACTAGGGTGGAGGCCATTACTACTGGTAGCTAAGAAGCCTGGGACAGCTGCCTGCAGGTTTGCTTTAAGTCCTATGGGCGACGTGGCGATGCACATGTCCGAAGTAGGCACCCAAGGAAGCTTCTAGTTACTAGAAAGTTTTATTACTAAGAAGATAAAAGCTTATTGTTACTAGTAGTAATGGCTTCCACCCCAATAGCGATGGACTCCAACCTAGTAGCTTCTTGTTACTAAGAAGCTTCAAAGACATACTAGAAAGCTATTAGTTAAGACAGGTGAAACGATTCCCAGTGAAACGATTCCCAAGGAAGCTTCTGGTTGCAATTCGATTGAAGGTTTGTTCTCCAGCAACGCCACTGCAGCAGAAGTCGGTGTGGGAGCCCTGCGGGCACAGGTGGTGCTTCTTGGCGTGGCGGATATAACTACATGCAGTTACGGATCCACTCAACATGAATAGACGTCATTGGTTCATGGAGTTTTGGGTCTTTTGGGACGTTGGGAACTTGACTTGATGGAACTTGATCTTTTTGGAGTACACGCTGCGTTAATCTTGGTCATTTGAAGCCCGCCTTGAGAAAAGAACAACTCCACCAGAAATGCGATTTGCGCTTCGGAACATCAATCCCGAAAGTGTTGTTTCCTATTTGTCCACTGCATTCGCGTGTCATTCGTGCAGAGCGCGAACGCGAATCCGAATGCGGCGCGTGTCGGCAGGTGTCTCAGTGGCCGGGCTTCCGGCGCCCTTTGAACGAACCAAACTGGTCACAGTAGCCCCTTGGTTTCAATCTGAGCGGCTGCGAATACAAGTGAGAACAGCCGACCTGAAAGAGGCTGCCTGGGTGGTGCAGCAGCGTTGCTGTTGGGTTTCAATCAATATAGCAAAGGGGCGATGATATGAGCAACGGAGGGATAACACGAATGCAGAACTTGTTCAAGGGCGGCAGACAAGGGGTCAAATCACCGCTGCAGGTAATTATGTTTGTTAGTGTCATTCTGACAGATGGTGCCGACCAGGCTTGGTCCTCAGTTGTTCCAAGATTTGAGTTCGTATTTGAATATGGCAGCGGCACCGACATTTTTTTTCTGTGATGATGTACACGCTGTACACGTATTATGACCCTTGGCAAAAAAAGAACAACGTATAACAGCATCGACCCTGAAAATGCCTGGAATGACTTTCATTGTCCACGCTAGACTGGGAGGCTACAAATTTTACTGAAGGTTCTGAACATTGGACGGGGTTTTGAGTGAACGACATTGATGATCATGTTGCAGGTGCCAAAAGTTCAAGATATGCCCATGTGTTTGACCAAGGCATGGTAATGTGAGTTTACGATCTATTGCGAATCAATGTGAATGGTGTCCTACTCCGCGGTGACGCAATTAGAGGATATGCCTGCTTAGTACCATTTCTACCGAGCCAGAGGTTTGTCAAACTCCTCCTTGCTGGTTTTGTTGTTGTTCTTCTTCTTTCTGACCACCAATCAATGCATCCAAGTATAGATAAATTTTGATAAACTATGATATCTGATATCTTACAAATATACCTGGACTATTTAATGGGTGTCCAATGGAGATCCCTAAGTTGTGTAGAGTAGTCCTGGTATATATATGTATATGTATCATAGATTCGCTAGATTACCCTAGGCTTCCAACCACCATGAATCTACAGTATGTGCCTTTACCAAACAACCAATTGTTTACTTATTATGTTTAGATTATTTTACTGTACACTACAACACCAGGTCAACGAATTGTTCAATGGTCTTCGAAGCCTAGGGTGTGTGTATATATATATATATACATACCGTATATGTTGGGTTGAACTAGCGTGTTAAGGGCTACCACGAACAGCGGGGGAACAGAGCGGTCTACATAGATCAACTGATCGGTCCCAGCCCTGCGCTACTGAGGTGCCAAGATACCTAGTCCCGCTCCCAGCGATGTGATTGAGCTGAGGTGAACTGTGAGTGAGTTTCGTACAGACTCCGCTGAGGACATGTGATATGTATATTCGGCATCCGCAATGGAATTGGAACGTGGATGCTGGGTGAAGACTTTGCCCCCAAATCTGTGGTTTGCTGGCCGGATCCCCGATTTTAGAGGGCATAGAACAGTAAGAACACATGGCTGTTGAAATCAAAACCTTTGCGTAGCAGGAGAAATGGTACTAGAGAAATGGCAGCTGCGGGTCATGCCATACATGAACATGCCCACTCCGGTGGCAGGAATCTCCAGTGTAGATCCACACTGGACTGCTTTCTGTTGGTGATCCTCTTCATTGCCTTGTTTCTTGCATCCAGCGAAGCGCTTCGCTTGGCCGCCCCCCTTCAGCCATCCTCCAACAACACACAAAATAGAAACACCAACTGGAAGTGGGTGATAAATATGTTTGGAGATGTTTGGAGATATTTGGATTCTGCAGCAGATATTTGGAGATGATTTCACAATGGTGAGATTTTGTTTCGAATCGCTTGATGATATTCAGTCATGTCCTCCGAACATTTGCCCCAGCAATTTGGGCTACCGGTTAGGGGTCTTTGTTCCATCAATTGGTAGCATGATGTAGCATGTTGAGATGGATTTGTGAGAGTTTGTGAGGCATTCCAAGGTGATGTTTACCGCCATAGTTTGATGTGTTTGCTTTGGCCGATCTCGAATAAGGTTGATAGTCACACCGGTTTTCGCAGTACTCTTACTAGATTTGCTCTTGTGCCATCATTTTTCAATATGTTTGTCCCTGCTCTGGAGGGTCGGGGCTGAAAGGACACCAAGAAAGGCTTCATCTTCATCTTCTTCGGGTCCCTGTGGGACCTCCAAGCCACTTCGCGCACAAGGTCCGCAATGAGCTCCCCTTCGCCCTGGAGCTTTGGCCGAGTCAGATGGCCCGGAGATGCCCTGAGTACAGAAGCCCTTTCGATTCCTGAGACGAAGAGACCGAAACCGGTCCCTTCCGGGAACCGGTCCGGAACCGGTCGAACAACTCTTCCACCGGTCGAAGGTGTCATGTTCGCTTCCCTTGTTCCCCATGAATTGCTTACACACCCGCTCCTCGTTTTGAGTGTTTCTTCCCAGAATGGCCCAGACACCTTACAGAGCGGAGCTATTGGCTTTGTTGCCGCAGAAGATGGACTTCGCCGGCGTCATATCGACGTCGCCACGGATCGTCACTATCAATCACTCCCTAGGGATCCAGTCGTACCGAACCCTCAGGTTCGGTACGACTGGACCCGACAAGGGCACCTACATAGCAGTGTCGAACACATCACCGTACCTGAGAAGGTACTTGCATCCTTAGGGACTCATGTTTGGCTTTCACATGCTTTCACTATTTACAAACTGGGACCTTCCGGCATACCGACCACATCGGCCATTGCTCGTGCTGCTTTTGCAAAATTGAGGGCCGAATCCAAGGTTAAGGGGCATGCGAACGGAGTGTGCATCACCAGGCTCACACCTTGTGGCATTTTGAAGAGAAGTGAATATGAACAAAGGGAAGTGCGAACGGACTTGATGGGACTTGACCAAGAAGAGTCTTGAAAGATGTTGTTAGAAAAGGAGCTATATTCTTAGACTGACACATTGGTCCCTGACCGCGTGCTGCTAAGGCCGAGGAACTGGCAAGAAAGCTCCAAACATGGTGCGCAAATCCAGTTTGCTTGGTGGAGCTTTGTGTTCTTTGTCAAACACAGTGGTTGCGTTTCTACATATATATATATATACAGTATATATAATATCACTGGTCTGCTTTTAAAGAAGTTGATAAGTTGATTTCGAAAAAAATATTGCATAGGTGCAGACTAGGTGCTGACAAACATGCAAACCCTCGGTACTCCACTCCACCACTAATAAGGTTGAAGTTGAAAGTTTTAAGTTGTTATTCAGAAGCCTCGATCCTAATAGCAATGGCCTCATTTGCAAAGAGTCAGATTTAATAGCTGGAACCCTGAGGTGAACACCATCTTGGATGGTCTGTGGCTGTTGGAAACAGATAAATATCAAGTAGTCACGACGTACAGCATCACTTGGTGGGCCCGGCAATCAGAAAAAATATTTGATGTTTTTAAGGAAAACTGTGATCTACCAAGTGGCGAGCGTCGCAAGCCCTTACAACCATCACTACCGCTAGCGATTGCTCTAGTGGGATTTTGATTTCGCTGGAGCACCCTCAAAGTAGCGACGGTCGCAGTCACTTGTTGCGAAGGACAGTCTTTTGAACCAGGTCCAGTGAAATCACGACCCCGCTGTGCGTCTCACTACCGCTAGCGATGGTTCTACCAGACTGCGACCGTCGCAACCTGGTAGATCACAGCTTTCCTTAAAAAGCACCAATTATTTTTTCCGGATCAGTGGCTCTGTGGGTACCTCCAGAGGTTGTCACCTGCGGTTGAAGTGGATGGAGTGGAATGGAGTGGGGTGGAGTCCAAGCTCCAAAGTGATTGTTATTATTATAAGGTCCTGACTGGTGGGGTCTTTGAAAAGATATTTGAGAGATGTGACCCAATTGAATTGGGAATGGTGGAGTGTGGTGGAGTGGACTGGACTGGACTGGATTGGAGTAACGAGGGTTTGCCTGTCTGTCAGCACCTATGCAATATTTTTTCGAAATCAACTTATCAACTTCTTTAAAAGCAGACCAGATCATATTATGTGTAAATATAATTTGCCACGTATGTTTCTTCCATGGTGCGTTCCTTCTAGTTTCAAGTATAACGTGTAAATGTGGTAAGCCTGTGTTGACCACACATTTGCGTGATCTTTTTGACCCTATCCCATCACCTTCATGTAGGGAAAGGGCGCAACGATGTTATTTTGGACGATAGCTCTGGCGCTTTGTCCAACTGCTTAGCGAACTGTACCGGTTTTTGTGTCGCTAATGGCTGAAGAAACAGTCTGCTGAGAATCAAGCAGCAAGCAGAAAAAGATCCAAGCTGACATCCACTTCAGAAGGCATTATTATACTATAGCTG